TCTACATGATTAGCACTCGATTGAGAATGCCCCCAAGCTTGACATCCTCGTCGTCCCGGGACCGTCGCCTGACTATCGCGCCACGGAGATCGTCAAGACGTTCATCAAGTCGACCAACGATGCCGGAGGGCACATCCTGTCGGTATGCAGCGGCGCCCTTGCTGTAGCAGCGTCGGGCGTCCTCGACGGCAAGGTCGGAACTGGCCCATACCCCATGATAGGCATGCTGCGCGAGCTTTTCCCGAAGGTCAAGTGGAGTGACGCACGCCGCTACGAGAGGAACGCGGCTGAAGGTACCGCCGGGCAGGTCTGGTCTAGTGGTGGCGTGTCTAATGGCATCGACGAGGCCGCCGCTTTCGTGAGGGAGCATTGGGCGCCAGAAGTCGCTGAGCTATTCTTGTATGAGGCATCGGTCCCTGAGCGCCCTGCCGAGTACAGCCAGATGGAGAAGGAATGGGGGGACAAGTTCGCGGCTCTCATGTGAAGGAGCATCAGTGGTTTGCGCTCGCGAGGCGGCATTCAGCCATGTGTATACTTGTAGCCCAGAGGCTACTACATCTTGTCCAAATCAACCCCGCTTTTATATCAATGCGTCAGTAGTTGGGTATGCTCATGCACTCGCGTGCTCCAACATCCACAGGGGAGAGACGGCAGAGGCCTGTCCTAATGCGTTTGTTAGCCAGAGACGAAGAGTAAGTGAGTCACATGCATAACATACCGTCTTGCCTATTGTATTCCTTTGCTACCAGCTCTCCGCATCTTCATCCGCTTTGCCATACTCGTCGAGTACATTCCCAAGGAATGTGATCTCATCGGAGCCGAGCGAGTGGCTGTATTTGCGGAAGACCTGCATACATGTAAATCAGACCTGCTCCGCAGTATAAGCCGACCAACTGCACCGCTCATCGTGAGAGAATCTCTTAAACTTGATACTGGAAGTCGTGCAATTCTGCCCAATGTATACGCTGCTGATTAGCTGCATGTGTTACCCGGTGCTCTTTCCGTGCTGAATCAAGACGGCTGATGAAAGACCTCTGCCGATGAGCCGCGAATCCCAATAACCAGCAGGAAGAGACCGGGTGATCTCCTTTTGTACTTGGCCGTGGGTTCATCGAAGTCCAGGAAGAACACCCAGGGCTGTACTGGCCATACACACCAGAAAGCTTCGGGGCACGGGACGGAATACTTAGTCCACCGTGTGCTTGATTTCTCCAAGCATATAAAGCAAATTCGTACAGACCGAACGAACTCATTCACATCTACCCGTTCATCTCAGTGCCCCTGCTCACGATGTACAACAACACTACTCACCGCACCGTCGGCGTGCTCCTGGTCTCCAGCAATATCCAGATGGCCGACATCTCGTCCGCCGACATCCTCACCATCTGTAGCGAAGACTACCTGTCCCTTCTTTCCCCAAAGGCAGCTGTGCTTGCGCCACTGGTATCGCCAATAGACGTCGTCTACATCACCGAGGATGGAACGAGCCCGTTGGCCATCACAGGCGGTGCTAAGATCGTGATCACGGTACGTCTTCTGCCAACTGCCAAACTGCTCACAAATCTGATGTGTGTATGGTTAGCACTCCATTGAAAAAGCCCCCAAGCTTGACATCCTCGTCGTCCCGGGCCCGCCGCCTGACTATCGCGCCACCGAGATAGTCAAGACGTTCATCAAGTCGACCAACGATTCCGGAGGGCATATCCTGTCGGTATGCAGTGGCATCCTTGCTGTAGCAGCCTCGGGCGTCCTCGACGGCAAGGTTGGAACTGGCCCATACCCCATGATAGGCATGCTGCGTGAGCTTTTCCCGAAGGTCAAGTGGAGTAACGAGCGCCGCTATGAGAGGAACGCGGCGGAAGGCACGGCCGGACAGGTCTGGTCTAGCGGCAGCGTGCTTGACGGCATCGACGAAGTCGCAGCTTTCATCAGGGAGCACTGGGCTCCGGAAATTGCTGAGCCTTTGCTGTACGGGGTGTCGGTCCCTGAGCGCCCTGCCGAGTACAGCAAGATGGAGAGGGAATGGGGGGACAAGTTCGCGGCTCTTATGTAGAAAGGCATCTACTGGCCTCAGTTAAGCGCGCTATGATTCAATGAACTGTGCTTGTGAGGCGTCATTCAGCCATACCTGTAATACTTGTAGACTGGACACCAGAAAGCCACTGGCTGTCTGTCCGAGGAAGCCTCGTACTCCACGTGAAGGCACCAATATAATGAGTCTCCTGTACGAACAAGGTCGACTCGTGTCGACGTCCATAAAAGAAAAGGCGAAGGGCCGCAAGCCTCTAAGCCTTAACATTGCAGGAGACGCCTGCCATGAGGTCAAAGCTAAACACACAAACAGATAACAAAGCGACAGAGGATCGAGATAGGGTTCAGTCCTCAAAGTCTATGTCCACAACGCTGCGATACGTTCGGTCAGTGTGTTCCCCAACGAAAAGCGGTCGATGTACACTTACCAAGCCTCGCTCTCCCTCGTCGCTGGGGTATACGCTGCCCACTGGAAGGTGTGACCAATGAAGCTTCCCGGATTCAGGACGTGACAGCCTTCGTATGTCATGCGATAGCTCTCATACTTGTCGGCGAGCACCACACATGTCGGCAACGGGTACAAGCGTAGAGAGTGGTCGTAGTCCGGTAGCACGGGCGCAATATTCGAAGTCAGTGGGGCCAGATGCGATTGGTCGAGGATGCTTTGAACAAGCTGCAAGACCTTCAGCGATATGTTATACTGGAATGGCGCTGAAACCTTACGTAGCGCTTCAGCTCTTCCCCGCCGACGTCTGGTTTCACACCAACGAGGTTGCGCAGCATTCGCGCCATCGTGTCCTCTCGGAAAATGACGATCTCCTGGCCGAAGAATTTGATGCGCGAGGGGTTGCTTCCAAGCGTGAGATGGGGAACCTTCATTTTCAAACGGGCAGTAGCAGTTTGTAGCAGCGGTCGTCGCGGGAGCAGCGAGTTCGCAGAGAGGTCCGCGGGACCAGGCACGATAACGAAGTGCGTTGTCTGCGTGATGCGTGGGTAGGATGCGATGAGGTCGGCCAGCATGTCAAATCCCTCTGCGACAGAAGTTGATCAAAATTCGCCCTCGTCTGGGAAGAGGAGTATCCAGTACCTGTATATCTGGCCACATCACGAGCATTACCATGTGCGATACCCTTGCGTGAAAAGTTGCCACACATAACGAGAACGAGAGGTATATAGTCGTTTTCGATGCAGTTGTCGAATACTCGTCTGAGCCCACGCAATGTATCGGGCTCGTCTAGCCATACGTCGGACATGATGAAGAAGGTAACGTGAGACAGATCTGACTCGATGCGCTTCGCGAATGCGACCTGATATGTGTCAGCGGTTGGAGCAGAGAGAGTAACGCAAGGTGTACCAACATCTTCTGCGGGCGTTGTTGCGCCCTTTCCCAAGAAGTCGACGTGTCCGTATATAGCGCGTGCGGCTTCGCGACTCTCGCATGGTGGATGTCCAATTGCAATGACGGCGAAGGTCTCGTCTTCGGTGTAGTCACCCTCGATTAGGACACATGCGCCCTCCGTGAACAGGCCCTCGCTGGGAGCATCCTGGTATGGAGTAAGCAAGCTAGCAATAAAGATATTGGGTGACACCCACATACCAGCTGCGTGAAATCAAGCTCCACTCTACCATCCTGGTCTTCCAAACATAGCCTTCCCTCTTTAGAGTGCGTCAACATTCCAAATAAGAGGAAGCGTTCGCCAGCGCGACCAAGAAGCTGCTTTGTAGATCTTATCTAGATTGAGGATCAGTTCATCATATGCGTCACATGAGATACCAACGTACTGTTAGTAGATGTGCCCGATCTCGCGTCAATACAGCACTCGGCGTGAAGTGCTCGTTCCGGAGGATCGTCTGGCGGATAATATGTAGTCGGTCGCGCGTCGCGGCGACACGCGAGTCTGCGGAGCCCAGCGCGTTAGGTACAATATTTGATCTGCTCGCTGAACTTGGTCAAGCCTGCCCGCACTGACCCGATCGTTCAGGCGTGTACGCACCTCTCAAAGGCACCGCGTTCGGTGCTCCAGCGCCACACAGGCATCTCGAAAGCGTTAACGAACCACAAGTGAGATTCAATATCCAAATCCCCTTCCTCTGCGCCTCCTTCTCCGGATGTACCTGCGTGTTGTAACGCGTCGAGTACGCGCTTTAGTACTGGTAGAGTAACCTTCATCGCGGCGTCTGTGGTTTCGTGTCAGCCAAAGACGATAACAATTAAGTCAACAGTATGACATACCGTCTTGCCTATTATACTCCTTTGCTACTAGTTCGACACTATACTCTGCATCCTCATCTGCTATGCCATACTCGTCGAGCACATTCTCGAGAAATGTGATCTCATCGGGACCGAGCGAGTGGCTGTATTTGCGGAATACCTGCATAACTGTGAGTCGGCGCCATACGTATGATACGCAGCTGCGAGCTTACGCGTATGATGATCTTTTGTCGCTCGCTAGACATGGTGTACGTGAGAGGCTGAGGAGAGACGCGTTCGAAGCGCGACGCGCCTCGACGCGTTTCGCACGTGGCCATGTTGATCGCCGCGTCGTCGATGCAGCAGCCGCTTGGCTTCAACGTTCAACTCAGAGACGGAATCCTGAGCCCCCATCTTGGGACACTACCAACTTGAAGCGCTAGCTGGTGATGTAACGAAATTGATCATCTCTGAGCTTTGAAGGGGACTGCGATCTGGCATATATCTGAGCATCGGCATCCGGGCGCGTAAGTAGATGAACGTTAACCCAATTCTCTCGGAGAAGCAGACGTTACCACTTTAGGGATACGATACCACAGTACGGAGTCAAAAGGTAGAGGTAATCTCTCACTAAGCCCATTACGAATGCTAAAAGTCCGAAAAGCATATGAAGCGAGCTCCTGGCCCGTCGTGCGCGATCTTGGACTTGCAGATTAAGACCCGGAAGCAATTAAGATGCTGTAACTATACCGCTAGAACGTGCGGTTTCATCCATACATGACCACCGCAGGGGTCGAACCTGCAATCTCCTGATTACAATACGGAAATCGTAGTCAGACGCGATGCCATTTCGCCAGGCGGCCTCGAATGACAAGTTTTAAACGCACAATAGTCTTTCTTTCTGGCTTCCTCCACATTTTGTCTGCCCAGACCTATCCGACCTATCCGACCTATTCTTTAGTCGGTTCGGACCATTATTTCGGGTCTACAAGAGCTGGAGACGCGTGAGGCACACAAAGCGTGGACTCTGTCCCTGGTGTGGGAGTGTTTTCTCACGGCACGATACTGGAAAGGACGTACCATACTGATCGTATGTCTTTTCAGTAGCTTCTCGTGAAGAAGATCATCTAGATTTGGTTCGCAGACAATGGCATCATAACTAGTGAGGATAGAAGCTTAAGGTGAGCAGTCGAGGACGCTGTTCAAACTTGGTTCAAACTGAGTTCAAACAAGACTTTGCTGGCTCTTCCGACGACTCCATACTTCAGTATCTTGGTTTCCCCTTGCACGCTCAGGCCAGTCATTGCTTCAAGCAAATAAGTAGATTCAACTCAGCTTGCCAAGAGAGCACATGAACTCATCCAAGTACTCCTACACAGGACACAGTGATCGCAGTCCTCACTCAAACAACTCGCATATTAAGATGACCCCAGAAAAATAAATTCTCGATTCAAGTACTACTCAAGCCACAAGTGGACCAGACATAGAACCACGTACAAAAGACGTTCCAGTACTAGTTACGGTAATAAGCTAGCCAATCCCAGACGATGACCCTAAGACCGGGTATGCAGTATTGAACAAGGACCACCGTCGCTAATACACGAACAACATTGCACAAGGAAAGAGTCAAGAGTAACAATGAAACAAGAGGAGGAGATTGGGGGGGCGGAGACGATCACGATCGGAGGCTAGACAGGGGGTATAGACGCGATGTGGCTCGTTAGCGCGCAGACAAGCTGGTAAGAGCGAATGGGTAGGAAGTGTAATGGGAGATAGAAGGGTATGGAGGATGAGGGCCAGCTTCTTCTTCAACAACAATGTAGAATCGTCTTCGCGAGACTTTGGGTAAACACCCGCACGGCGGAGGGAGGTAGTAAAGGCAACGCGCGTCGAGCGGAGGATGGGGTCTTGTAACAGTAACAAGCCAAAGCGCAGAGCGAGGGGGACACAGGATACAGTCACAGAACACAACGGAGCGAACGAGGCGTAAAAGAGCGTATGCGCGTGACCGCGCGGGGGCGAGATAGTACAGACGGGCACCGTGACCAATGTCGTTTGTGTGTTAAGTGTAGCGGCGAGACTTTCGTTTGGCGAGGGAGACTCTTACATGCCGCCGTACGCGTCTTCATCGTCGTACATCGCGCTGTAGACGGTATCGGGACGCTTGCTATCGTTGTGGTTCGCTGGGTTTCCGCGCGGCACTGCGGTCTGGTACTCCGGTAACGGCGTCTGCGTGTTCTGCGAATGCGCGGCAGCAGCCGCAGCCGCGACTCCAGGAATAGCGGCAGCGGATGTGGGCCCACGCGGTTCCTCAGCAACGGGCCCAAGGCGGTCATGAATCTCGGCGTACGTCTGCGCCTGGAAGGGCGTGACGCTCGAACGAGAAAGATCGGCATAGTCCTCCCCGCTGTGGCTCATCATGCTCGGGTTACGAGTAACCTGCGCACTCTGGCTCTGGCTCGGGGCGCGGTGAATCATGGCTCCCTGACCCATAGACGGGCCGCGCATAAGGGCCGGCGAAGGCGCAGAGACCGGCTCATTTCCGTACGTGTCATACGAAGGAACAGTGCTGCTAACGGGCGATCCCATCGGCGCCTGAGCGTACGGGCTGGCATATGCGTTGTGGGGCGGAAGGTTGGCAAATTCCTCCGCGTTCGCTTGGTAACCCATGTTGTTGTTGTTGCCATAAGCGCCGTAGTCAACCGCGCCGTATTCTTGCTGACCGTAAGCGCCGGCGCCCATCGAGCGCTGGCGCGCAAGCATAGGGCTCGCGTTGTTGACGTGGCGCTCAATCATGGTCGGCGGGCGCAGGTTACCTGCGGTAGGCGCGAACATGCTCGGTGCCGTCGGCTCGGAGCCGAGGACATCGTCCTCACTAATCATGCGGGATTGGCGGCGCGCCTGATCAGCATTCCAGTCAAATGCATCCTCTTCGCTGCTACGGCACTTGCGCTGCAAAACATGGTCAAATTAGTTCCCGTTGCAATGGGACGGAATTTGCCGAACTTACGACGAAATACCAAATTGCGATGAGAATACCAATAACACCGACGGCGGCAGCGGCCACACCGCCGACGATGGCGCCAGTGCTGGTAGTGCCATTGGGGTTGGGAGTTGACGTAGAGCTGGCTGAAGATGCAGCGAGCGAAGCCGTGCTTGTCTGAAGAATAACGACGTTGGTCTAGGCGTGGAAGCGCGATCAGCTGTCACGCCCAAACGATCAAGAAGTCGCGAAATAGAAACATACCGCGGTGCCGTGAGTAGCAGCAGCGCCAGCAGCCGTCGCGAGGACGCTGGCCGAAGAGCTGGGTACAACTGCGGCAGATGCCGAGGGGGTTGAACTTGAGGCGGTCGTGGAAGAAGAGGTCGTGCTGGAAGAGGTCTCGGAAGAAGTTGTGGTCGAAGTTGTGGTCGACGAGGTGGTCGGGGCGGCAGCGGCGGACGAAGAAGAGGTCGTGCTCGTCGCTGTAAGCGTCCATCAGCATATTTGTATTACGTGCCGAATATCAGGCACGCACGGCTAGGGTCAGCCGGGGTCGAGGTGGGCGACGCAGGTGCAGCCGTAGTCGTGGGGCCAGCGGAGGTCGTCGGGTCAGGGGTGGGCGCCGCCTGAGTAGGCGTCGTCTCTGGGGTCGCAGTCGACGTCGGATTGTTGTCGCAGCTGACGGCGAACTTGGGACAGTCGCCTCCGCCCGCAAACTGGCGCTTGCTCACGCGTTGCATGTTGCGGTGACGCATGATTTGGTTGATAGACTCCATTATTTTTGTCGATGTATAGAAAGAGCGGCGGGATATAAAAGAATGTAGGGGGCCTAAGCCGAAGCTGAGAGCGGAGAACGGTCTTCAAACGTTCGAGTCGTCGAAGAGGCAAACAGACCCAAGGACATCACAACCCCGGCCTTCGTCCACTCAACCGGCCCGACCTCCCGAATTCACACACCTTTCCCAGCGCGACAAATGAGCGCCTGTCTGTCCGTGTCAGCCGTTGATCATCTCTCCTCTTCGCTGCGGTCATGGCGACGACGAAGCTTTCTTCCTCCCAACGCTCTGCATGCGATGTCTGGTGCACGGCCTATCGCTAGCAGGCCTTGCTCTCGCAGAAATTGTAGTCACACTCGAGAACGATAACTCTGCGCTTCAGTACACTCCATCATTCTGTGGCCCAACCAACGGATCCGACTGCTCAGCGCCATGGTATGTCGCTTTCCTGATGCCAACACGTACCCCGTCTCATGCGCGTAGGATCATTGCGAACTTGACCGCTGCATCGTCCGGCACAGTTACGACTACCTCCGGACCACTCAACTCGTCTCAGTTGGCGATTGTGCCACAACTATTCCTTTCGTTTCGCGGTACACATATCACCCTTCGTACTTCATCGCTGTCTACCGCGAATGCTACGCTTACGCTCACGTCGACTTCGGCCGGCACGACAATCACGACGAGCTTCAATTCGTCCTCAGGTAGCATCTCCGCCGTCAACCTACCTCCGGACGAGGACATGGAGCTCGCGCTCACGTATGTCTCTCCGGGAAGATTGGACATTGATGCTATCATGATCTTCGCTGATAATGAGACGTAAACGTATTTCCTTTTTTGTCTACTGATTGATTCTGACTGTACGGCTTTGGTAGTGTGACTTCGCTTTCGTCTATACCCGGCCCAACGTCCAGCGCCCTACCCACCTTCGTCATACCTGCGCCAACCTCCTCATCAATACCACGAACAAGCCGACGTCTCGCACAACCCGTCGGCACGATCGTAGGCGAAACTCTCGCCGCCTTCTTCGGCCTATGCATCCTCGGCATTGTCGCGTATTTCTTGATAGCCAGACGGAGGGCTCTGAAGAGAGAAAGGCGACAACATGTATCACCTACGGACGTTGGGTCTATGTATGGTGAAAGGCAAAGAGAAGGCGGCGTAGGGCACGGGGATGATGTCGAGTTGGATAGCATGGGACCAAGGGCTATATGATTTGCTTCGCGATGCTTAATATGTACGGTCTGTGGGTATACCCGGTGCTTCTCTGGTTGCCCAATGCTTAACTGTAATTGTATTCGTGAACTCTGCGTGCATACATTGGGGCGAAGGCCAAGGGGTGACGGCTTTAGCCGAAAGCCTTCGGCAGTTTGCGGTGCGCGCGTTTGCCGCATAAGTACTGTTGAAGGTAACTCTGGAGCAACTCTTGTTAGCTAGACATGTGCGGTCGCAAAGCGCCCTCGCTGAGACGGCGAGAGCTCGAGGTGGTCGAAGATGAACATCCGTACGGGACAGTCCGAGTTCGTAGTCAGCCTTTGATACATGCCACTGTATGCTACCAGTCTGGTGTTTACAAGAGCTTTCTGTATCCACGTAAAGCCTCAGACACGGATGGACTTAATCAGCAGAAGGTCGCTTTCCGTGGGATCTAGACGCGATGTGAACTTCAGATTTCTTCCTGCAGCAGGTTTAGGCGGTCGTGGGACGCTGATGGTGGCCCCTGCTTGGAGCGAGCCGCTTGCGATCAAGCAATGTGAATCCTTACATCGTCTATAGCCAGCTCCAAATCCCACGGAAAGCAGCCCAGTGTATACATACATGTATGTGTCTGACCTACACCTATAACCAAATGGGACAATACCTGGTGCGCCGCACGCCGCCGCACAATGTGAACGAGAGCGAAAATTCGTTCAGTCGCGCGCATCTTTTGGCTGACACGCCAAAAAGCCTCAGAAGCGCTGGGAGACCTACCGCCGCCGGCTCTCTCGGAGACATCAAAAGGTGCCTGGCCGCCGTATGACTGGATCTCCCGAACGCGAGGCTACTTAAAAAAGATGATACACATGCAAAATACCGCGGCAAACGCGGCGTGGAATTCGGATCG